TCTTGCTGGGTATATCCATCCCAATAGAAACAGCAAAGCCATTTTTAATTGAGTTCCCAGTGTCTATCCTATTCAATGTAATCTGTTAAATGGGGGTGGTGCCAGACTATTTTGGTTTTCATGCCTCAGTTTCCTTTTTTCAAATGTTGCTTGAAACATTTAGATATGAATAATCACAAATATCAAAATATTAATCAGTATACATGATTTTCATTTCCAATGAAGTTTTATTTAAGTGTGTTATCTTTTATTCTCAGGCGTCAAAATCAGAGAAGATAACCGCACTTTCAATTCATTATGGCTGACATATAGGTATAAATGAGGCCAATTGCTATGGCTATTGTTTTCTCTTATAAAAAGAGTAAGCATTCATTTGTCAGGCTTGACAAATAATGACCATAGCTTTGCCTTGGCTGTATGGACCTGATGATAGGTGAGGTGTTGAAAAAAGTACAAATACTTCAGAAGGTGAGATGACCTTTTTTTTGTTAGAGTATGCTCATTTAATTAGATGTCCCTTTTTCAAACTAAAAAAAACAATAACAAATGATAGTCTTCACAGCATCTTTCTCACTTTTACTGACAAGATCACCATGGCAACTGGCATCACTTTCTGTACTGTAGTTGTATCCTCCAATGTATATAATAAGAGAGCACAGATGCTGGCAGGTGAAATGCAGACAAAGAAGGCATACACCACTAACAGGAGATTCTTGGATACTTCAACTGGGAGTTTAGCGTTGGGTCTAGGTTGCTGAATTGTCTGTGCATTGCAAACTCTCATTTTCGTGGGAACTGGCATACTATAGGTAGATTGAAACCTTTTCACATGAACATAAATGTAGCGACAGACCATTGAGTAACTCCAGAATAAGACACACAATTGAATAGGAACAACATAGAAGCAGAGAGCTAGGGCACAGCCTTTGTGACTTTGTCTGTGTCTACACAACAAGACAAAAAATTTTCATCAAAGCCAAGTTTCAGGCAACCAGTCAGAAATGGGACAAGCTCAGCAAACATGGGAATCAACCAAGTCTGGCTGACGCCCAAAGCAGGCTAAGCAGCCTACCACCAACTGAACAACTTCATGTAAGCTGCTCTATTTAGGGAAACGACGGCATACCTGCTGCAGACAATGCACATTAGATTGTTGATGCTACATCCAAAGCATAGTACAAATATGAAGCCTGTGAAAGTACAGAAGGGCCTGATGGTTAGTTGCTGTGCATTGAGGAATACAACTGCATTCATAGGAATGACATAGACACAAGTCAATAGATCAGTGATGCTAAGATTCAGCACAAACATGTTGGTGGCATGCCAGAGTTTCTTGGACAATATCACTGCAGCGATGACCAGCACCTTGCCAATGTTCCAAGGATTGAAGATACCAGTGCCAGAAGAAATGCTACAATGATCTGCCCATAGGTTCCATTGAAGAACAACTCATTAGAAGAGAAACTAGTGATGTTGTCGTGCTCATCCATTGTTGAGTAACTTACCAACACGGTAAATCATCAAGCTTTGAAATGGTGAACACGTCTACAGTCTTCAACTTAACTCTCTTCCATCTCTTGGCACTTCCAGTTGGTCAGATGATTTTCTGTTGCCTTGGTTACACATCACTCTGATCATTTCAAAAACTGGTAAGAAAAACCTGCAATGCCATTAAGTCCATCTTTGTCAAAACACACAGATGGAAAAGAAGAAACTTAGCCCAGTATAACTATCCTATACCATTAGTCCATACACGTACAAGAGTCTTTGCATATTAAGAAAAGATTAATTGACAACATCAGTTACCAGTAAATGGATTGTGTCACTGTTGTAAGACAGTAAGTTATGCTCACATTATAACTTAAATATTGTAAAACAATAGACGAGGATTTCATTCACCTGTTGATGCTCAAGATATTACGCTAGCTACTGCTGCTGCAGACAATTTTGGAAAAATTATTTACATTTATATAGAAATTTTCGAAATCCCTCCAAATACAGCCCTAAAGTTGACCCCCAGAAGGCACGCTTCCGAACCCTTGAATAGGGAAATAATGCGCAAAAATTTCACAATTTTCAATTACTTTCTGTTCTTTGTTTCTTAAATATTTCATCTCCAAAGAATCCTTTTGTAAATTATATCTTAGACTATTAATTTACTGAAAATAAAAAAATTACTCGACCAGAACGAGAAACATAGTGCCAAACACTGACCTCTCACTTCCAAATATCTAAGACACTTGTATGCTGATTTTTGTGATTGGATGTATTCACACCCAGAGAAAATTTTAACAAATAGTTTGTGCTGACCTTTATGTTAAACAAAAATGAAACAGGAGACCAAGATAAGTTGTACCATTCACATTTAAAAAAAAATTAATTTACAGGAATAATCAGCATTTACATTTAGTTATCAAACTATTGTTGACAGGAACAGCACCTGGCCAGTTAACTAAATCTAGAATTGAACCCATCAGCTGATGGTGGGTAAGTCTTTACGATGTTATACGTTCTTGTTCTTGTGCATGCACATAATGTGAAACAAACATGCAGACCTACTGCACGTATGATAATGCCGTATGAGAAGGTCATCAAGGAAATCTGTTTTTCAGATATCAAAGCATATTTTCCACAATTTTACTTCAGAAACATAAAGATAAAATTCCCAAAATTTCTGATTATCATGGGGTGATTTCTACTGGAAATAATCCATTCAAAAATTACAGAGGTGATTGGCAGACCCAATTCAGAATCCCTACATTTAGGCCATGGGATCCAGAGGGTTTTCCGATGCTCACCACCAGACCTTTCACAGGTTCAATTGGTTTGTTCATTGTTTCCTTCCACAAAGAGGAAGCTTTAAATTGTTAGGCTTGACAGATAATAGCTATAGCTTTGCCTTGGCTGAATGGACCTGATGGATGTTTCCCATGGGAAAAGAATCAAACCGTGTGCTACAAAGCAACATTCCTCCTCTTACAAAACATGTTTCCATGACAACTAGTTGCAATCTCCTATCAACCCCGATTCATAAACAATGAGGTCAATCAATTATCTTCAGATTAACTTCAATTACAGGAAAAGTAATAATTTAAGCTAACATGTATGTTCCCACAATGACTTTAACTCTGAGGTGAAATATGGGACTAAATCTTGCAACGACAGTGCGCTTACATGTAATCCTCAAATGAAATAAATCATGATAAACACATTAAAAAGGATAAGAAGATTACATGTTCATTGTATTTTCATCACCTTGGAGAAAAGAAATCTCTCTTTGACATTTTCTTGTCTCAACACATTTAGGTATCTGTAAGATGTATGACACCTTCCCACACGACGAATAAGTTACGCTCTGTCTTACCCTACTGTTCTATTTGGGTCTTGGGAGACATACGCCTTTTGGTGACAGTTTATGTTTCAACTTTTATGTTCTCCTGGGCGGCCTGCTGTGTCTTGTGATTGTCTTGTATGTTTAATTGGCCCAAACAAATATTGTTATTATTATTATTCCTATTATTAAAGAGCTCTGCAGGTTCTGATTTCAAGGAAAAGGTCAACTCACATCCACAGTAAGTCAACTGCAAGTTAAGTTTTTCCATAAGACAGAGAGATATATTGTGTTATTTACAGATCCTATTCCTGTCTGGTATTTGGTCAAATCTCCCACGAAGAATGCAGTTGAACACTGTCTTGAAATGAGGGTGCTTAAAACCATAGATCATTGGGTTCAGACAGCTGTTTGCCGACAAGATTACTATAGTACCTGGCATCACCTTCCTTACGGTGGTATTGTCTTTCAATGTGAATAACAGGAGACTACAGATGGTGGCAGGTAAAATGCAGACGATGAAGGCACACACCACTAACAGCAGATTCTTGGATACTTCAACTTGGAGTTTAGTGTTGGGTCTAGGTTGCTGAATTCTCTGTGCATTGTGGACTTGCATTTCAATGGGCGCTTCCAAATGTTGAACTCTCTTTGCATGGGTGCGAATGTGGCGAAAAACCATGGCACAACTCCAAAATAAGACACAGAATTGAACAGGGACAATTGAGAAGAGGACGATTACGGCACAACCTTTGTGGGTGTTCTTCACATCTACATTGCAAGCTGAAAAGTCTTCATCATAGCCAGGTTTCAGGCAACCAGTGAGAGTTGGAACAAGCTCACCAAACATGGGAATCAACCAAGTCATGCCGATGGCTAATGCAGTCCTCCGCTGACTGAACAACTTAGCGTAAGCTGCTCCATTCAGGCGAATGATAGCATATCTGCTGATGGCAATGCACATTAGATTGTTGATGCTACATCCAAAGCAAAGTACAAACATCAAACCTGCAATGGTGCAGAAGGGCTTGATGGTTGGTGATTGCTCTGCCTTGAAGAATACAACTGCATTCATAGGAATGACATAGACACAAATCAATAGATCAACGATGCTAAGATTCAGCACAAACATGTTGGTGACATGCCAGAGTTTCTTGGACAATATCACAGCAGCTATGACCAGCATGTTGCCAAATGTTCCAAGGATTGAAAGTACCAGAATAAATGCTACAACCATCTGTCTGTAAGTATAGCTGTAAAACACTTCAGGAGGAGAATTTGTGCTGTTGTCTTGCTCATCCATTATTGAATGACTCAATAGAAAGTTGCCAGTTTTCCTATGGAGAATACAGCTGAAAATGTATAATCCAATTCCCTTCAAAAATGTGACGATCTCATCACTCAGTGGAGCACCTGTTGCCTTGGTTACGCATCACAGTATATAAAATGTACGTAAAACCTGTTAAATTCTCTCCTCTACTCCAACTCCTAAAAGTTTTCTCACAAGCTGGCCATCAACATCAATGATGGTCACTGGGTCTGTCTCAATTTGTCAACAGACATCCACTGGCAGAAAGAGAACAAACCTCCTCAGCATTATCCCTAGCAATCCTGTAGCAATCTGTTGACTACAGTAGATATATGTCTGGTATGGCTGTCCTAGACAGTTAACATACACATGTTACAACGTACATAGAAACCATGGTAAACTAATCTAATTTTATTGACTGCAGCAAATGGACCCTCTAATTGCTATCACAGAATGGACAATTCTGGGATCGGTAACTTGCTGGCTGAAAATATCAGTAATTAAGAAGAAAGTGAGAGATAGGGTTGTATTCACTTGCTGATGGTCTCCTGATAGCAGGCAATTTGTTCAATGTTATGGACGATGTATAAATTACCATGAATTCCAATTATGGAATTTTCCATCTTCAATACTGCTCTGGTCACTGTGTCCTTTCACAGAAAGAAGCACATAAGGCCTACGCTTGACAGTTAATGATTATGGACTTCCACATGTCAAAAAACAGATGATGTGTGATTTTCTTTATAGAAATCGAAACTGATCCATTACAATGTAAATGTGTAAACGTAGGACTAACGACTTTTTGCCTAGACAGAATATGTATAAACTTAATGGAATGTTTCCCAGTCAGGTAATTTAACAAAGAAGTGAACATGGCTTCAGAAAAACAGGTATTAAGTCTTCCAAACTACACGTACTGCTATTAGACTAGCAAAGGTGGGTCTTCAACCAAAAGGATAAAATACCTTGCACATGTATTTGAGAGATTCGCTACAGAGTTGTAATGTACCCATTTTTTAAAGAGAAATTCAAAGGAAAACATATTTTCTCTGATTTTATCTGTTCAAATAAATACAGAAGCATCCAAATCGAATGCAGTGTCATTTGTCCTCAGAACTCAACTATAACAAGCTAAGAAGGGCTTTTTTTCTGTTCATGCCAAGATGTGAATGCTGAATGCAGTGTCATTTGTCTTCAGAACTCAACTATAACAAGCTAAGAAGGGCTTTTTTTCTGTTCATGCCAAAATGTGAATGCTGAACATGCTGAATGTAGATTTAGCATCATTCTGAGAAAACAGAGAAAACGAGGGGAACCCTCGCCCTGTGTTTGCGGTGGATAAACCCTTGTGCATACCAAACAGTGCATGTTGCCATTCTTTGTAGGCATTGTTTGGCTTGCACAAGGGTTTATCCACTACGAACACAAGGCGAGGGTAGCCCTCATTTTCCTTTTTAGGTTGTTATAATAGAGCTCTGAAGACAAATGACACTGCGTTCCATGTGGATGCTTCCATATTTATTTGAACAGATAAAGTCAGAGAAAACATGCTTTCCTTTGAGTTGCTCTTTAAGTCACTCTTACACTTAAACAAAATATGTAGGCCAGGGACATGGGTACCAACCTAATATCAATAACCACTTCGCTATTTTGGGGCTGGATACCAGTGAAAAGTTATGTTAACAAAAGAAAAACAAAAGGCAGAAGTGTTTATGTCACATTATCTTTAATTTCTCTTTTTCTTTTTTTTTTTTTGGGGGGGGTGGAGTCAAATCATCCTTGCTTGCAGCTGGGAAGGGGGGGGGGGCTGAATTATGAATGACACAGCTACAATATGATCAAGTTAAAGGCATGTGAGGGTGCCTCTGGTTGCTGCCAAGTAACCCATATTTGAGCAAGGAACACAGCCAAAGACTGAAAGTGTTGATTTTTTGACAGAGACAGGTGTAAGTACTTTACAACACAAGCCACCTGTGCCACCCTCAAGTAAGACCCCTCTTAAATGTAGAACAAATTCCTGTAAAACTGCGCTTTAAATAAATTCTCCATGAATTTTTTTCCATTTCAGGAGAAATGATCTGTTTCCTGCACAGGGACACTTCCTCCATGACAACTGGTGTTTCCATGACAACTCTTCCTGTCTTACATTAAGCCTCATTAACAAAATAAGACAAAGAAAAGTTTATTTACAGATCCTATTCCTGTCTGGTATTTGGTCAAATTTCCCGCGAAGAATGCAGTTGAACACTGTCTTGAAATGAGGGTGTTTAAATCCATAGATCAATGGGTTAAGAAACCTGTTTACTGACAAGATTACCATGGAAGCTGGAATCAGCTTCTTGATTGTACTAGTGTCCTTCAGTGTATATGACAAGAAAACACAGATACTGGCTGGTAAAATGCAGACAATGAAGGT